TTAAAGAAAATAATAATAATATATTCACCTGCTTACATAATCTATTTTGAATATAAATATGTATATATTTTAAAATCGATATTTTATTATTTATTAAAAAATCATTCGAAAATCATTCGACTGATAATTCTTTGTTTTTTTCATTTCTTTCTTTCTTTTGTTTATTCGGATAAAACATTTATTAATAACAATTAAGTAAAATAAAAATATTTAATATAAACTTTTAAAATTTGTTTTTTTTTTACAAAAAAAAATTTATGATAGTATGTGTGATGTTAAGGTAAATACCAAGCCACCAAGTATTTCCTATCAGAAAAGGTCAATGTCCTAATAATATAAGATTACCACCAGAAATAAAAAATAAAAAAAAATTTATTTAAGGGTAATTATCGGTTTATTATCAATTCTACCATATGTTTCACGGACAAAGAAATATAACAAAAAATTACAAGAAAAAAAAAAAGAAAGAAAAAAATCTTTATATTGGACTTAGCTCTGAAACTTAAGGACATAAATCACTGGTTTTTAAACAACGTAAAAAGACCGAGAATCCTCGTTTAAAATGTAACGACGTTAAAGTCATCTTATAATAATTAAATACTCTCACCTTTTTAGGCCGAGAAGCATCTTTCAAATCCAACCGATTTGATAACTACGAAATGTCAAAAAAATAAAAATTTTTAATAAATTTAAAAATAAGGTACACACTTTTCACTACCCGCATTTTATCAAGTCCGTAAAACGTAAAACGAAAACAAAAAATATTTACATTTCGATACTTAAATCACAACGAAAACCTGTGGAGCTGAGAAAAAAACATGGCCGACATACAAGGCCACTTCCTTCATTGAAATAGTTTTAACAAAAAAAAAAAAAAAATATTGTATATATCGAAAATATAATTTATAAAAAAAAAAAAACAAATAAATAAATAATTTTAACCAATTTATATAAATAAAAAACAATTAAATATTAATTAAAATCGATTATTAATTTACAATGAATAAATATATAAAATAAAAATTAATAAAAAAAAAAAAAAAGTATTAAAAAAAAAAAAAAAACTTTCGCAACACTTTTGTTAAATTCGAGATACACACACACTTAACCAAAACATGGAAGGAAACTCGAAATGTAAGAATTTCGATATTATTTCGATTATCGATTCTGATTTCGATAGAAATCAACAACAAAAACAATTTTCTTATTATTGAATTCGTTTATTTTTTCGTTTTTAATTTTAATTTAATTTAAATTTAATTTTAATTTTAATTTTATTTTTATTTTAAAATTAATAAATTATTTTATTTAAAAATTTAAATAACAAAAGATAAATATTATTATTATGATTTAACGTTAATAAAAAAATAAATAAAAATTTGTTTTATGTATAACGACTCACCCAAAAAAAATAATAATAATAATAAAATATGTGTTTTTCCTTAAAAAAAATTAATTTTTATTATGATTTTCCAACGGGGATGGGGGTGTTGGGGGATGGGGGAGGGAAATGATTACTTAAATAACTATTTTAATATTATTTATAATATAAATAATATATTTATATTTATCAAATCATAAATTTATTAATTTCCCTTCTATAATAAAATATTCACTCACTTGTTTAAACTCCCTTTTTTTTTTTTTAAACCTTTTTAATGTTTTTATTTTTAACATAAAGTACTTCTGCTGTTGTTGTTGTTGCTGTTGCTTCTGCTGCTGCTCAAGTAGTCATAAATTAAAAAAAAAAAAATTGATAAAAACCTTTTAAAAAAATTTACATACACAAAACCTGTAAAAATTTCAAATTTTTTTTTTATTTCACTCCCTTTTCCTCCCTTTCTTCCTTCCTCCACCCCCCTTAAAAAAGAAATTGATTAAATTTATTATTCATTATCATTATCTCTTATCAATTTCACATTACAATAACATTTCCAGACTTATTAATAATAATAATAACTGGATAATTATAATAATAATAAACAACAACACATTTTTTTTTTTTACTTTATTTATTTATTTTTTTGATTTATTATTTATTTATTTATTTATTTTTAATTAAGAAAATTTATAATTAATTTTATTTATTTATTTATTTAAAATAGAAGTAGTAGTAGTAGTAATAATAATAATAACCAGAGCTCACAAAAAAAAAAAAAAATTTACAATTTAAAAAAAAAAAAAAAAAGAAAAATACAAAGTCACCAATCAATTAAAATCAAAATAAATTTTTTTTTTTTTTTATAAACTAATAATAATAATAATTAATAATTAATAATAATAATAATGATAATAATAATGAGAGAGAAAAAAAAAGAAAAATTTTTGTTATTAAACTCTTAATTTTTTTTCTTTTCTCCTCCTCTTCCTCCTCCTCCTCCTCATCATCATCATCTGTATCATCATCATTATCATTATTATTATTATTATCATTATTATCATCGTAAGAACCAAAAGGCACACATCTATACATTCATTTTATTATTATTATTATTATTATTATTATTATTATTATTATTATTAATTAAACTTATCAATTACTTAATTTATATTAAATTTTTATTTTTCTTACTATTATTATTATTATTATTATTATTATTGTTTATGTTTTCATTCGATTCAAACAAAGGAAAATTACACCGAAACTTTAAAAAATTATTATTATTATTATTATTATTATTATCAGTATTTTAAATGTTAATAATAATAATAATAATAGTGAGGATATCAATAATAATAATAATAATCATCGTCTTCATTCATACATAATTAAAAAGTATTATTATTTATAAAATATATCTATATATATATATATATATTTTTATTTATTTATTTTTATTCGTTATAACCGTTGTATGGAATCTAAAAGAAAAAAAAAATAATGATAATAATAATAGTAATAATAATGATAAAAAAAAAATTTACAAAAGGAAAAAGAAAAAACATATATATATATATATATATTTCTCTTTTCTTTTCTTTCCTTTTTTTACCCTTTATGTATTTTTTTAAAATTAAATTAAATTTCGTAAAATAATAATAATAATAATAATAAAACACAGAGTGCATCGAAAACCAAAAATAATCGTTGCGAAAGCAATACAATAATAATAATAATAATTATTATTATTATTAATAATTAATCAGCATTTCACTAAAATATAATAATAAATTTAAAACGAAAATTTTTAATTAATATTATTTAATCATCATCATCATCGTCGTCGTCGTCGTCGTCGTCGTTGCTATCATCATCAGGAACAACTTTGTTCAAATTAGTATTTTTCA